ACTTTGCAAATAGCTTTGCCATGGGTTTATGTTAAGTCAGGACTTGCTTCTTCATAGAGACCAGTGAACGAAGCTCAAGACAAGCCTCAAGCTGCCTTAACTCTGATTTGTGTAAAACAAATCCCCAAATCCCCTGCCAGCCAGCACAAGCTGAACGTACAGCGAACGCGATGTTTCCTGGAGCAGAGAAGTCTGCATTTTCATTCACTTTCATTTCATTCATTCTCATTTCAATTTTTGGAAGACCTTCATTTTTAACTAGGGCCCGTTTCAGCGGGTGTCAGCTGGGCTCCATGAAACAGAAGCAGCTCCAGTCTGCGCTGGGATCCTGCCACTGTCCCCCTTCTGTTTTACAGTCAAATAGTGCCATATTTCTTCTGAGCCTTTGCCTCTCTCCAAATTTCTTTCTAGTTTACTGATTAACTTTGTATTCGTTGTTAATTACCGTTCTCTGTGCTGGCTTTATGAAGGTTTAATGCTCAGGTTTTGGTAGGGCCATTAATAGGTGGGATAGGAATGTTACAGACACATCTTTGCCTTTCAGAAGCCCAGATATAAAGGCATATGTGCAAATACGATAGCAGCTTATTTTCCAGCTAGAATCTAAAATGTGTTGTTTATTGGAATATGTTAATCGTTGAATATTTTATAGACTATTCTGTGGGACCTGTGGCTACAGGATACCTGCTTGGATTGAGAAGATACCTGGTAGGATCTCGCCTGTCTTACAAAAGCGTCAAAATTATGCATCAATAAGATGACCAGAAAACTAACGCTTGCCAAAGGTTTCTGAGCATGTGGCTTGATGACCGCTGAAGTCGGGAAGAGTCAGGCTAGGAGACCTTGACTCCACACAACCTGACCTGCAGATCCGTCATCTCCTTCGGGCCAGATCTGCGAGTTCAGGGAGGTGGCTGGGTGGAAAATGGTCTCAGAAAAATAACTGGAAAACCTTGCCTTCCATTTAGGTTGGTTTAAGCGTCTGTGGAGCTTCCTCCTCAGTTCCTTAGATAGGCACGAAACAGATACTTTGAAAACCTTCAGAGGGAAAGCCTGTCAGTCTAAAAGTTTCTAAAAATTTAATAGTGTGAAGCTTTTTTTGCTGCTTCAGAGCAGCAAGACTGGGATTACTTGAAACTTGGAATTACCTTTTCTTCTTTTTCTCCCTCCCACCCCTCCCAGATGAGCAGGATTTTTCTGCTTGTGCTGATGGGATGAGGTGTTGATGCCAAGATCAGCCCACACACGCAGGTCTTGCTAAACAAGGGGTGTACGCGCTGCAGGTAATTATGAGTGTTGCTTTCAAGTTTATTGCCCCCACAGAGTTTTGCCTCAGGCATTTTTTTGCAGTGAGCTGACAGCGCTCTTTCGAAGCACTTTGGTTGTCATATTCTCCCTCTTGTGTGGGTGAGAAGAGGTGGAAACAAAGCCAAAGCTTTTGATGAGGAGCGTTTGCAAAAGAACCTAAAACTTTGCATGGCCCTATCTTGGGTGGGGATTTCAGCCGGGCCTTGAGCTAATGACAACAGCAAGAAGATTTATCTGATTTTTCTCAATACCTGGATGATGTTACTACGTGAGTTGCCAGTTTCCAGTGTCACAAGATCCCATGTGGGTAAGTGGTTTTGAAGTCGGTTCAGTTCCCCGTGCAGCCATGTGATGTAATGAACACATTGGTCAGCAATGTCTGGAGCAAGAAGGGTTGCAGAAATTCATCTCTCCAAGAGAAGAACAGCATTTTCTCTGAGAAGTGTACACAGGCGCTGCAATGAAGCTTCTTTTCTTTTTTCAAACAATTCACTAAGACTAACCATCACTAAGATACTTGATTCACCCTGTTCCTAGCCTCCGTGGATCCTCTAGCTTTTGGCGAGCTGTGAAACCATGATTCCCAGGCTAATGAGTCTTCTCTCCTGTGGTGTCTCTCAGCTTTACCTCTTTGCATGAAAGCGAATGACTTCTCCAGCACGTGAAGCTGTTCTGGGGGGTCTGTCTGACCGCCACCTACTTCTTTTCTTTGGAGTACAGTGGCTGGAGAGGAAACTTGCACCCGCCCTCCATATCAGCGCAGCCTCCTGTTTTGAGGAGGGCTACGGTTCCCACCCTGCACGTTATCCCTGTTTCTCTGCGCTTTGCCATGAACTTTTGCTGAATATACGGTGACTCGTTCTCAGCCTTGAGATCTTCGTTCACCTCTTCTGATTTCTCCAGCCCTATCATGAGTGCTTGGCTTTCACTAATGTATTCATGGCAACTAATCTGATGCAACCTTGGGATTTGTACATCGTGAGTCCTGCCCGGCTGATCGAGGAGGAGGAGGTGGAGAAGGGGAGCCTTCTGTCTGTCCCACTCTTCAGCGCTGCGTGGCCTTTAGGGTCCAGCTCCAGCTGTGGACCCCCACCCTGCAAAAGGTGAGGATAACTCCTGCAGTGGGATCTACGCCCACGGCTGTGCCTGCAGTGGGGAAGCACTTTGAGGAACTCTAGAGGGTTAAAACCACGCTTCTGAAACCAGCGTAGGGGAAAAGTCACATGCACAAGGGAGATTTTGCAAGTTGGTGCTTGCAGCTCGGGGTAATGAGAGGGAGCGCGGGAGTGCAGGCTTCTTACCTTGGGTGAGCTGTGCCTGGTTAGTCTGTGATCCTGGGAGACACAGGGAAGAGAGCAACCTTCCCTGGTGCACGTTGGGGCTGTGGGACCGGAGACCTCCCCACTTGGCGGTGGGACAGCGTGGAGCCCGGGCAGTGCAGAGTGGGAAGATAGCAGATAAAGGACAGTGAGGAGGAGGAGGAGGAGGCGGAGGGAGCTGAGCTGGCTCCCCAGGAGCAGGAGGGGAGCTGGACCAGGTAAGCCTCTGCCGGCCGCTCTGGAAATGAAGCAGAAGGACTTGCTGAATGTTTCTCTGCTCTTTAGCTGGGGCTTGGAGGTGTCCTGAAAAGGAGGTCCATAGCCTGAAGGAGGCAAAGCCACCTGAGGGACGTTGGCATTGCATAAAGAATAAGAAGAGATGTAGACAGACACAGAGCCTGGGGAGTGCAGGAGATGAGAGGATGCCCCTCGTGTTAGCACAGGAGGTGGCAGAGGAAGATTTGGGGGGACTGATCTCTAAAAACGGGCAGTCATTCTGCAGTAATAGGCAATGGAGCCAAACGAGGTCTATGCTGCACGAAGAGGTAAAAGCAAAGCTGCTCTTGCCAATGAGCTTGTCCGGGCTGGGGAAGGCTGGTTCCCTCCTGCAGCTCCCCGACGGCCTGGGGAAGGCTGAGCTGCCCTGAGCCTGCTGCACCGTTTGCTGTCATCTCCTGGGGACTGTCCTCCAGGGACTCAAAATTCTCAACAGCTAAGACAGAGAGCCTTGATTCATCTCTAACTTAATGTGACAGCAGCAATGCCAGGGTGGTAGGTTTTAATTAGGTTTTCCTTTTGTTTTCTCTGTTTTTTCACTCTCTGCTTTGCTGCTGTTTTGTGTGGGGGCTTTTCTGTCTTGTTTTTCACTTTCCCTTCTGCTTGATGCTAACCTGAAGGGATTGAAGGCACAAGGGGAAAGGAGTGAGAAAATTCACTGTTTGAATCCACCTTTCAGTGCTGGGAGACGTGCTCTGTAACACATGCCTGCCCACGCTCGGCAAGGAAATCGCACTGGAGAGCCACAGCCACCGTACAGCAGAAGCGCTCCTCACCTGCGCTGGTGAAGAGCGGCTGCTGTGCCCATCCCGTGTACACACACGCACACTGAACACCTCTTGTGCAACATGTACCATGGCTCGATTCCTTTAAGTGTGAGTTTCCAGCCCTCTGCAGGTTTTTTCTGCAATCAGAAGAACCTTTCGTGTTGTTTCTCTTGCCTCAGTTTCCTTTCTGATGGTCGTTCAACCGGTGACTATCCTGGCTTTGTGCAAGGGGGTAATTGCAGCAATAACCATCAGGCAAAAATAAAGCAATCCTCTTTGGAAGGAGAGCAGATGAACTCTGTGAGGAACCCTTACGCCAAGAGAGAGCAACAGGCTCCCTGCGCAAAAGTCAGACCAAGTGCAGGTTACAAAGTAAATGATAGTTTTGGAGAGCCAGCGCGGATGGAGCTGAGCCATGTGAGTGGAAGATAATTGAAAAGTAAACTTCAGAGCCTTCCAAGCACTTGCTTTAATAACCACCACATGCCCTGGGCAGAGGCCTACATCAACAGCATTTGCCTGGAAAACCCCTGGGCACAGTGCCTGCTGCGGGGATGTGCCCCATCGACTTCTGGCACTGCCCGCGGCAGAGAGGAGAGAGGAAAGGAAAGCAGAGACCCTCAAAGGCTTTGCTGCTGCTGGGCGAGAGCTCTGCTTGCCTCTGCCTTCAGCAGATCCATTTTTCTTCCTTATCTGCACTGCTTTGTTTGTATGGTGGGGAATTATCCATTGCGTCAGTGAGCGGGGTGCCTTGCTTCCAGGGAAGGGCATCTACACCAGCTCCACTTTCTTCTGAAAGTGCCTGCTGACAGCAATGGTGAAAAGCCTGTTGGCTTCGTGAGGGGAAATCCTGCCTGTTCCTTGACTAATTGTTTAGAAAATGTGAATATTTAAGGCTGTCAGGATAATGTAAGGAATATTTAAGGATAACTTTTCCACCTATTAAAAAAAAAAGTAATTGCAGCAAAGGGCGAGCCTGTGCGTACTGCACTCGTGGCTGGCTAACACCTACCTGGTGATAACATTCACAGGGAGTGGGGTCCAAAGAGCAGAGTACACCCAGGTGGTCTGTGCTCTTACCCTCTATTTGCCACCTCTGCCAGACCTGGGATTTTCTTTTCTTCTTTTCAGGGCTAGAAAATGCCTTCTTGCTCGTGGAAAGTGAGGTCTCGAGGAAGTCATCAGTGGGAGCGTGAATGAAGGTTTCACAATCTGGTCCACATCGAGGAGAGCAAGGCGTCTGCCTGCTGCCTTGGGGCTGAATCGGTGTTTCTTAACAGTGAAAGATAAGGAGGATATACGAAGTGCTGATATACAAAGTGTTGAATTTCTGACAATACGACATAGAGTCCCTCAAGGAAGAGGCACCTTCAGCATGGCCCATAAAAGCCAAGCTGGTGGAATTGAGAAAAATGGGTCACTGTCCTCCATCCTCTATTGTAAGAATGATTTAAAGGAAGGATCCCTGCAGTGGGTAAAAGGTAAGCGAGCAACTCGTTGATGATAAGGAGAAAGGCAGCACTGAGTACAGCACCCTTAAAATAACAGAAGACAGATTTTTCAAAGATTCTCATTAACAGCATCTCATTTGCAAAAGTAACTAAAGATTATGGATGTTTCAGCATTTTGGGGAGGGGATGGACGCACTTTCACTTTTTTGGAAAGCCTGATATATAGAAATGAGTGGGCATCAACCTACTGAAAATCAGGACCCTGGAAGTCCTCTTCTCTTAGTCTTCAAAAGTCAAGGAATATTTCAGAACCTTGAGCTGTGCTTTCCAAGTGACTCCCTTCGCCGGTAACAACTTGGTCCGTCTCTGCAGCACTACTTCAGAAACTGCCTGAGGTGCTGTGCAGAGACCGAAGGCAGTGCCGTGGATGGCTGTTTGCACCGAGACCTCCAGGCAATGTTCAGCAGCGTTTTTGAGTG